AGATTTAATGCAATCCCTATCAGACTACCACCGACATATCTTACAGACATAGAGAAATCATTCCTAAAATTTATCTGGAACCAGAGAAGACCTAGAATAGCAAAGGCAATCCTGGGCAATAAAGACAAGGCAGGAGGCATTACAATTCCTGACTTGAAATTGTACTACAAGGTTACTTTGATAAAATCAGCATGGTACTGTCAACAAAATAGACCTGAGGATCAAAGGACTATATTAGAAGACACTGAAGCCTCTACGAACACACTCAGCCACCTCATATTTGACAAAAGGGCCAAAGATACTCACTTGATGAAAGATAGCATATTTAACAAATGGTTGTGGAAAAACTGGGTCTCTACCTGTTGAAAACTAAAACTTGACCAAGGTCAATCATCATGCACTAAGCTAAAGTCAAAATGGATTAAAGATCTCAACATTAAAACACAAAGACTAAATCTCGTGAAAGAGAAAGTAGGAGGAACTCTTGAATACATAGGGTAGTCAAAGAGTTCATGAACAAAAATCAAATCGCATGGGAAACACTTGAAAGAATTAACAAATGGGACCTCCTCTTCCTGAGAAGTTTTTGCACATCAAAAGAAATTACCAACAAAGTAAAAAGGCAACCCACAAATTTGGAAAAAATCATGACAAATAAGTACTCAGACAAAAGTCTAATCTCTAGAATTTATAAAGAACTAAAAAACACTAGGGCCCCAAAATTTAAAGACCCAATCCAGAAATGGACATCTGAGATAAACACACACTTCTCACAGGATGAAATTAAAGAAGCGAATAAATATATGAAGAAATGCTCCACATCACAAGCCATGTTTGAAATGCAAATTAAAACAACATTGAGATATCATCTCACCCAAGAAAGAATGGCTATCATGAAGAAATCAACCAACAACAAATGTTGGAGAGGCTGTGGGGAAAAATGAGCCCTTCACCACTGCTGCTGGGAATGTAGGCTGGTGCAACCATTATAGAAATCAATGTGGAGACTCCTTAGAAAAGGTGGACTGGAAATTCCATTTAAGCCGGCTATTCCTCTACTGGGAATTTTCGCAGAGGATCTGAAAGCATCATATCATAGTGACATATGTGTTCCTATGTTTATATCAGCACAATTAATGAGAGCCAAATCTTGGAAACAACCAAGATGTAGAGGTAGTAATTTTACACAATGGAGTACTATTCAGCTATAAAGAATGATAAACTCGAAGCCCCTATATAGAAGTGGATGTCACTTGAAGATATACTCATAAGTGAAATAAACCAGACACACATGTCTAAATATCGTATAGTTTTCCTAATATAAGAAGTCAAATGTAGAAATTCAAATAGAAAGGTATAGTACAATTAAAGGAAAGCCAGAACTTGAGGACTAACTAATTAAGAGAGGGAAAGGAGAAGAGCTAGGAAACATAACAGTGGGAAGCCATACAGTTATATGTAGAAGATGGGTAAGGCAATAATCCTGAGAATCTTCAGAAGATTTTTTAATCTAGCAGTTAATTGGAAAGATTCTCAGCCTAACTATATAAACTGACACTTGTGAACTAACCAACTGCACTGAAGATGGCAATTTGTAATAGTAGTTTCATGCTTGGAGTGCCTATTATTCGTGTCCTCTGAATATGGGCTGCTTGTCATGACATGCCAGTTGCTGCCATGCTGTCTCTTGGGTAGATGACTATTCAAAAAGAAGGGGGTGGTGACTGAAGGCAGGAGACAGGAAAAGGAATGTTGTGGGACTGTCCTGTTTCAAGGTTGTATATGGTTAAATTTCTGGACTTATGTTTAAACATAAGAAGTATATAATTCTTTATGCCTCTGTTAAAAATATATTCTAATTTTTAAATGTTTTTTCATCATATTCTGTAAGGACTTAAAGTTCAACATATCAATACTTGATGAAAAATACCTGTTCCATGTTATGCGTAAGATGTTTGATATTCAGACAGATAATGAGGTTAAGCTTAAACAGCCTAGGTTGTATGGTAATAACAATAAGCTTCTCTTCTGGAGGGCTAACAACCTATGTTTGCAGAGCAAAATTAGAGACAAAGGAGGGTCACAAGGAAAGTCAACATTTTGGCCCTAGCCTTCCCAGGTCAACTAAGACTCAGGACATATTAGAACTTGCACTGTAACATCATGTAACTCAGTAGTGTCCCAAATTTTCTGATCAAGGAGATTATGCTGTCAAACAGGAAAGTGACTGATGATGTAGAGTGTGCCTAACGAGAGTCACATGGAGAGAAAACATTCTCTCAGGCTTTCACAGAGAGTACATTGGCCAAGCAATGGTTGTGACTCATCCACATGGCTGACACTGACAAAGGATCTACAATCTGAGGATCTCAGGATAAATCCTGAAGGGATTTCACTGACCTTTTCAGACCAAATAGCTACAACTCTTGTTGCATATGTCTTGCTTTATCTTGGTCTTAACCATCCAGTAGAAAAGTATAAAAACAAAGTAGAAAAAGTAAAGCCATAGTGTTATGTTGTGCTGTAGAGGACTCAGGTCAACAATTTCTGACATTGCCAGTGAAGCGGAAGTCCCTATACTATTATGGACTGTTGTACTCTTTTAGAATGTTTTTCAAACACCTATAATATTCAAATTGCGGAACTAAACAAAAAAGGGAATACAGATGAATGTCCATTTTGTATCTGTGTATTCAAAATGGTTAGGATAGATATATAGTTTTATTCTCTTAATGAATAGAGGGATTTGTTATTATAGTGTTTGTAAATAGGATATCATGTCTGCATCTTGTACAGCTAATAACCACTAGGAGGAATGTTTGCAATATGTTCATTATTGAAACTGTCCTACCCATTTGGGTTGAAACTGTCTCATTGTTATTTGTTTTCAATAAAATTATGGAAAAAAATTAGAGCCTACCCAGTGGGTAATGCTGGAGAATTGGGAGTGTTGTGCAGTGGTATAGGACATGCACAAAGACTTGTGTTGCATCCCCAGCACTGAAAATAAAAAACAAAATAGAAGAAAATAAAATAAAGATAAAAAATTTTAAAAAAACATGAAGAGTCAACAACTTACTACACCATTTTCTCAAACTTTCTGCTTTCTAGTGGGGAAAAAGCAAAACTGTAAGCATGATCAATATGACCTTTTCTATGTAAACTTGAAACAGATGGAGGGCAGTTTCCTATGTGAATCTTGTCCATGGACTGTAAGAAGGTGGCCACAAACTCCCCGGCTACCATTTTATTAATGAAAAATCAAGATGGGCTCCTACAGTGTAGACAGCCCAGGGGGCTGATACGGAAATGTTGATGGGATGGCCTGGGCAGGTGGCAGAGTGTAGAAGAAGCAGCAACAGGTTAAGAATTGGCAGCAGGAGTGGAAACCCTGACTGTAGAGAGCTCGCTGCAGAAGGAAGGAGTCTTGGTTCATTTGTTGACCTAAGGAAGAAGCTGCACAAGAACCAAGCAGGGAGAGACTGAGCAAGCAAGAGTGACAAAGTGCTCTAAGTAGTCACAACTGTGTTGTCAACACTCCTTTCTAGCTTGAGACCCTTAAAAAACCCACTGCCCTCTTGTGGCTGCAGAGTAACCACCAGGAGAGGCAACATAACCTGTCTGGGTCAAGGCTGCCAAGTCAACGTATTTGCTTTTCAGAACTGTTCTTGGGCCGTTTGGTCTGTGCTAAAAGCCCATCAGAGTAACAGGAGACTCAAGCCTGAACAGAGATTCTTCGGACTCTAAAGGCTGACTCTTTGGAAAGGCACAACATTATGAATCGAACTCCCTGTCAATGGAAGCTTTTCTCTGTAGATTCGTTGAGAGACAAATCTGCCAGTCTCAAAGTTTTCTGATTCCTGCTGAGATCATCTCCGTGGAGCAAGGGTGAGAGCAAAGGCAAGGGTGAGGGCAAGGCCCTGCCAGGAGCTCCAGAGATTGGGACATTCAGGAGCACAGGTTTCCCCGCTGACTCCACCTCTGAGCCAGGTGCGGTCCAACCTGGGTAGGGGACATCCTCAAAAGTGCTCCTGTATTTACACTATGCTCCAGGGCAACACTTCATAAATGATCCCATACAGCTAGGGCTTGTGCATAAAGCGGCCTACACACAGCCCCACTGTGTTCCACATCCTGTACCCTTTGATTTTCCCCCTGCAGACATGGTCTAAGATCAGCTGCCTTGCAGCCCTCCAGGGAGTAGGTCCTTGGGACCTGCAGAAGAAAAGGGCAGTCAGAGAAGCATCTACAGGCTAATCAGGAAACCAGGGTTTCAGCCCACTCAGCCATGGGCCATCCAAGCTAAGGACTTTAACCTCCCCTTGCCTGTGCAGGCTGCAGGGGCGGGGAACTCGGCAGCAGAGAGGAGGACCAAAGAGGGGGCCTGCTTGAATGAAACAATGTAACAATTGATGTGAGGCCTTGCCTGGTTCCCACTGCTCAGAGATCCCCTAGGCGCGGTCCCAGGGTCTGCCTTTCCCCATCGCCCTCTTTTCTAGCCCACTACCCTTCTGACTCTGCCCCTTTTTCTTTCCCTTTCTTTCTTTTTCCTTCTCCTTCCCCCCTCGCTCCCCCTTCTCCAGCTCCGTGTCATTTCCTCCTTGGGCTCGCTCACTGCCCCAGCGTCTCCAGTCCGGAGAGGAGGCGGAGCAGGGCGGTGCGGGTGGCGTAGCGCTGCAGAGCGATGGTGGTGGAGCTGCTGTGGGCGGAGGCAGCGTAGCCCCCACGGAGCAGGAGCCTGGCGGGCGGCGCCGGAGCCGAGCACAGGATGGAGAACCGGCCCGGGTCCTACCAGTACGTCCCTGTGCAGCTGCAAGGGGGTGCGCCCTGGGGCTTCACCCTGAAGGGAGGTCTAGAGCACTGCGAGCCGCTCACTGTGTCTAAGGTAAGCCCTGGAGGCTCGGTGCCCGGGCGTCCGACTTTGAATGGGCGAGCTGTGCGCAGGCTGACACAGGACGGGACCCTCACACTGCTCGGAAACTGGGCCCCGGCTGGGGCTGGACGCCCCTCGCAGGGGCCAGAGTAGCTGGGAGGGCTCTTGCCACCCGCCAGGGTACAGACAGCCCTGGAGGGCGGCTGGAGCACGGTGGAGAGCATGGCTGGCCCGGGCTGGAGCCTGGAGGGCAGACACACTCCCGAGGGCTCCCCCTCCCTGGGAGACTACTCCCCTCTGTTGGCACTGGAGGAAGTGGCGGCCGTTGGCCTTCTCCCGCAGGCCCCTGCACCCCCGTGGACGGTGAGGGACCGAGGGCTGAGGCGGTGAGGCTGGCCGTCCTGCCAGGGCAGGTTGCAGTCTGGGGTAGGCTGTGCTAACGGAGACAAGGCATTGGTGGCTGGCTCCTTAGCCTCAGTCCCGCAAGCACATCCCTTCAGCCGGTTCAGCTTGGCCTTTTCCCCTCTGATTACTTCGATTGCCTGAGCACCAGGCTGGTGAGATTTCCTGCTCATTGAAAAGTGTGGAGGAAACTTTTGTGCCATGGAGCACAGCTGTGCTGGAGCTGCTGCAGCCAGGGTTTGTTTGTTTGAGGAGGCTGTGATCTGCTGGAAGCCAAGTTGCAAAGAAGGGCCAGGGAGAGTGGCTGTCTGAGTGCTCTGGAACCCCCAAAGCTAGAGCTAAGCTAGGAGTGGTGAGGGCAGGGGCAGCTGGGGCTGCTACTGGGAAGAGTGACTCCTACAAGGACTCACCTCCAGGCTCCATGTTGCCAAGGGAAGGGACTTGAGGAATTGGATCTCACTGTTGGTGTGTTTCTGTGAAGTACTGAACTTGCTCTCCTTCCCACCCAGCCCCTCAAAGTGCCCTTGAGCTGTATGTGTAGGTTCAGGGCAGTGCAGCCCTGGGGCTCTGGGCAGTTTAGCGACACCCCCAGTACACACACCTATAACCCAATGTGCTGTTGTACAAGGCATGGCAGCTGCTGATTAACCTGTAACTGATGGGGTCCTCTCTGGCCTTGGGGCAAACCTGGAGTGTAGCCTGGTGGTCGGGTACCTACCAGCTGTAGTGACCTGAGGACTAATGAGGCAACATTTTGGTGACAACAGGGATCCTGGGACCTTTAGCCTCCCCACACCAGCCCATACCTTCCTTGAGCACCTCTCCCCTCACACTTGCCTTCTACTTCTAACCAGCTTGAGATGTCTTTGTCATCTACCAATACACTCTCTGAGGTAGTCTCCCTCCACCACTCTCTGGAGCAATAAAAAGAAAAAAAAAACACTTCTTTTTAAACAGAAACACTCTCAAACAGCCCCTTCAGGAATTTGTTCTAATCAAACTCCTCCCTCTGCTCTTTCCACCAAGGTCACCATGGGCTATGCAGTCCTCCATGGTCTGGTAGTTCCTCCCCTTCTTTTCCTCCTCACACTCCCTGCCCAATTTCCACAGTGGGCCTAGACAGCTTGCCTCTGAGAGGTCAATTTTCAGTTCTGCCCAGCATTCACCAAACCTGAGAGGTACCCAGAGAGTGCTTGCTGCTGTGGTCCAGGGTATTTTGTGAGCCTGCAGGAGCAAGGCAGGGAGTGTTACTAAGTCTGGTGCAGCCAGCAATTTGTGGTTTGGCTGGGGGATTATTTGAGGATAGATGAGGTTTTCTTGGCCAGCCTATTGAGGAAGTGCCTCCTGTGTTGAGACGCAGGGTGCCTTTTAATGATTCCCTTTCTGCCCAATGTACAGTTGACACCTATTATATGAAGGCTCTATACTACATGCATCTGGATATGCAGGGGGTAAAAGTAGTTCTCCCATTCTTTCCAAATAGTTCCACTCCATACAAGGAAAGCCAGCTGTAACTGGATTAGCTTTCACATCTAAACAGGTAAAGCATTTGTTCAATGCAATGGTTGTATGTATTTTTTTTCTTGACAAGACACACTTTGGCATATTTTCAGACCCTCTTTTTATTACTTAGTTTCCTTTTAGAAATTTCAAAATAATAGATCTTTTCCCCTGAAGTTAGTTTTCTTAGTTTTCACGTACTGTTGGGGTATGGTAGAAAGGAATAGAATTGGAATTGGATGGGGCAACCAAACGGGTTTTAATCCTTGTTCTGACCTTCCTTAGTTCTAGAATCCTGGATTCATCACTGATCCTAGGTATTTTCAGAGTTAAGTATGTCATTCAAATGAGTGGCTTTGAAGTGGTATCCTAAAGGTCTAGTGGCCAGTCTTTTATGCTAGCTCTGTCACATTTTCCCCCAGAAGTGTTGCTAAGTGAGGAAAGTAACTTTGTTTCATTCACACACTGTGTTACTGTTTATAATGGGATTCTCCATCCCTTATTTCACTGGCCTTCTACAGCGGCACTGTGAGCAGTGAGGGAAGGTTGCTGAAAAACTGATGAAATGCCAAGGCTAGGATGCAGTCATTCAATGGATTGCCTAGGTTTGTCATCCATTGATTTAATGGCAGTTTCCAAGTCCATATTTTCTATGACTCTGAGAGCCTCTTGAACCCTCTGCTGGCCTTGCAGTTTGTGTGGGCACATTGGGCAGTAACTATCAGGAGTATAACCAGTCTTATCTACCTCCCAGCCCAGGGATACTTCCATCCTAGCCTGTGGTCCAGAATAAGTGAAGGCAGAGTTAGAGGTATGCCCTAATCCTGAAGATGAGGAGAGAACATTTTTGATGACTCCCAATAACTTGGACCAGGAAGAGATAGAAAATGCACAAACCATGGTGGAGAATGGCAGCCAAGCTACTTTGGTGTGAGAACAAAGCACAGGTTATATGGGGCTAGGATGGTGTGTCATACCTGCTTGGAGGTATCTGGTAGAAAAGGTAGAAGTAGAGGAATTTAAGTAAAGATGGCTAGTAGAAGAAGGCATGGATGGTAAAAGTCTAGCTTGTATTTGTTACAGAAGAGCCTTTGTACTAGGAAATGATCAGGTTGGGAAAATCACTGATTTCTACTGGGTCTTATGATTTGCCTACATGTGGGGAATTCAGATGCCTGATTTAGATACTTAAGTAGTCTCCTGACAACTAAGTGGCAAAGAAAGAGTAAATGTTAAAATCCTAAGTGCAATGGGATTGTTTATGGTTTTTACATATGTTGTGGTGTTCCTAGTGATTTCCTGATGAATAAAAGAAACCTGGCCCAAAAGAATTGGACTCATGGGTTTGTAATTATTAATTCCTTTGGTTAGTACCTTATGCTAACTTCTTTATCAAGGAATAGGGCTTGTCATTGCAAAATGCAAATTGTGTGTTCTAATCAGATTTGTTTCCCCTGATACCTAGGAGTCTCCTTCTACAGTGTAAACAGTTGTCTGTGAAGTTGTCTCTTTACTTTGCAAAACAATCGTCTTTGAGCATAGGTGAACTTTTTTTGTTTATTTTGCTATGTAGTTCAAGTAGGCCTTGAGCTTACAATGTAGCTCAGAATGGTCTCAAACTTGAAATAATCTTCCTTCCTCTGCTTCCTGTGTGCTGGGATTGCAAATGTGCAACTCCATGTCCCTCTTATGATGGTTGAAGTTTGCAGTGTTTTGGTACCTGTGATTCTGCACCATATAGAGTCTGTTAGAGCTCTGAGATTCAGGTAGTATCCTGTGATGTTTGTGAGAGGCAAGGGGATGGACAGATAAATAGACTCACTGATTGACGGACTGACTGACTTACTAGCTGTACTGTAGTGTGAGCTCACTTAAAGTTCTTGGAAATGTGTCCCAAGATTGACTGAGAATAGAGAAAAGGAGAGGTGAAGATCAGTGTGGGGATGCAAGCAAAGGAGCTGTATGAAAACTGAAGAGAACAGAAGGCATTCTCAATCTATATATTCTGACTTTGTTCTGGCCTACTTTTGGTATATATCTGCATCTTCTTTTCCCTGTTTTTTCTCTTTTTCTAATTCTTTTTTCTTTATTTCATGTACTTGGAATCAAATTCAGGACCTTGTACTTGCTAGGCAGGCACTTAAGCCACTGAACTATATCCCAGGCTCTTCCCTTGTTTTTTTGTTTTTTGCTTTTTGTTTTTTGTTTTCTGTTTTTTAAGACAAAGTCTCAGTCTGCAGTTCAGGCTAGCCTTGAACTCACTGTGTAATCTAGTCTGGCCTCAGATTTTCAACTACCCTCTTGCCTCAGCCTCCAGGGTGCGGGGATTGCGGGTGTACACTACCACACTGAGCTCTTTGTTTCTGTTTCTATTTTATGTCTCCTCCTTGCATAGTGAAGCAAGTGGATGCTAGTTAGTGCCATAGAACAAAGTAAAGTAGCAGAGTAGCCAGGAGGAGAAAGAAGCTTCATCTCCCTCCTCATAACACACTGTGATGTTGCTGCATCATTTTACTTTCTCTAGGTCCAAGTTTCTATTTGCTGAGTGAAGGTAGGCACACTTGCCACATCATTATCACAGATGATGTGAGAATGAATTGGGAAGTGCTAATCCCTTAGCCTACCACAATGATAGGGCAAGCTCTTTTGTCTGCATCTTGTACAGCAAATAATCACTAAGAAGAGAGTATGCAATGTGTTAATTATTGAAACTGTCCTACCAATTTGATTTGAAACTGTCTCATTGCTATTTGTGTCTCAATAAAATTATGGGAAAAAACCCTCTTTTTAAACCCTTCTCTGGATTCCCACTCCAACCTGTTTTTAGAAGCACAGAAAGCGGACTTTGAGACTTCAAGAGCACCTACATGATCAGGCTGAGATTATCTTGTAACTAGTAGTAAATGTGGATGAAATTCTGTTTTGTGTTTTTTTTTCAGTACTGGGGATTGAATTTAGAGATTGCTGAACTTTGCTGCCACCTTTTTAAAATTGTTTTTGAGACAGGGTGTCACTAAGTTGCCCAAGCAGTGCTCAAACCCATGATTCTCCTGCCTCAATTTTCCTAGTGGCTGAGATGAGATAGACCAAGAAGGGTCAGTGTTATGGCT